CCCATTTCAACACAGTTCTCAGCATGAGTTGGTCTTGATATAGGTAAGCCAGATACACAATAATAACAATCACCTAAAATCTTAATTCTCATACAGTTATTCTCCTACAAAGTAAACAATTACAAACTCACATTTAAGATTACATGTCAGGAACATTCAAATTCACAATAAAGTATTGCAGAATTGGGACAGCACTCTCTCGGTAGTCGAAATAACTATTCATTAATTTTTTTAATTTAAAAGTCAAAAATCAGTATGACATACTGTACATGTACACTTTCAAACTTGATCACCGATATATTATATTCTAAACTTAGTTATATACTGTCCACAATCAATAAAAACAACAACAAATAATTAGTTTTTTGGGGGGATTCACCAAAATGTTGCATAAACACCAGCAAATGTGTTTCTCTATTTAAAAAAAAAAAAATTAATTAGATAGATAAAATCATTATTGAACTTTTTTTTATTTTTCCAATTTGGCATTTAAAATGAAATAAAGTTAATAATAAACTTCGCTAAGTTTGATATGTTCGTAGTTTTGAAGTAATTCTATCAACTAATAATTTCTGGCTGTGCTACCAATTGCATATGAACAATACCGCTACTGGCGATGGACATTAGGTGGCAAAGTCTCTAACACCTGCAATATAGTCACCTGCCCATGCCCGAGAATTGAATCCCAAGCGATGATAACAACACACGCTAAGAACGCAAAGGCTCATGGGTAGACGTTTGTTTGTAAACAATGAAACGCTATGACTACCTGATGCATACGTAGGTGACGACTCCCCCACTTTAAAATTTAACTAAGTTTAAAATTTTAAATTCACCTACCTCTGCCAGTTTATCAAATCTTCCGAACAATTCATTCAATGTTTTGACAAGCTCTGGTGCGGAGCATTCACTTGCTAATGCAGTGAAACCAACAATATCTGCATATAAAATACTATGAAGAAAAAAGTAACAGTGAATATATGCAGTATTTGAATCCTACAGAAAAGAATGTGCTGCCCACCACAAGTATAGTAAACACTGCCCTCAGTGGTAGCAACAACAAATGCATTTGTTTGGTTTTATTGTATATACCGATGTTCAGAAAACCCACATACATGTGGTCACTGAACTACATGTACTTTTTGCACAAAAAAATAGCTCTATTCTCCATGAAAATGGAGATTTTTGAGCAATTTACCATATATTTATCACCCATGTTTAATGGATTGAATGTCTACAAGAATGATGGCAATTGCAATCGAACTGCAACACAAAAGAATCCCATTTCTCTATATATTATATTCATTGTGCTAATTAGGCTTTAGTACGGGGGCGGTCTGACTCCTTTATTGGAAACAGAAATTTAGTTGGTTTTTCCCATAGCATACCCGACAAAAATTTTGAAACTCTTCCACGACATTAACTAAATTTATTAAATTTATAGTTGTACTTTATTTTCACTATACCATTCCTAATTAGGTTTTACACAGTGAGTTAGTTCTGACATGATACAACTGCAACAGATCTGCTACATGTATGTGTAAAACAATATATGAATCCAAAGATTCCACTGGAATAATAACTTTAGAAATTTCGGTCAACCACGAATTGGTTATTTACTTGTATCTTTTACATTCTTTGCCTGTCAAACAATATTCTGTCTCTATTTTTAATATTGAATAAAGCTATTTTTATCACATTATTCTATGTAAAATATGATTGGTATTTTTATATTTTTAAGAATTACTAAATCTATATTTCGGGACTCAAAAGTAAGACTACCACTTTTTATCTTTGGGCTACAATTCTAAAATTAGTTGTCGAACATGACTACCCAAATTACATAAAATTAATTTTAAAACTTATGAGTATTCTGCATAACTAAACCAAACCAATGACTTATATTTATATTTTTGTGTTTGGCTGTAGTACCCAATAAAAATACTAGCCCAGCTAGACCTAATTTTGTTAGATGACAGAACATGTAAAAGATGTAACATAAATTCTCTTGATGATGAGAAGCATTTTATCCTTAAATGTCCTTCCTTTAAAAGTGAAAGGAAAAGACTTTTTGAAGATTGTGATCTCAAGTCTAATTTACCAGATGATATTTTCCTTGAGGTAATGAAAAATGCAAAAGCCCTTTCACTATACCTTAAAGATACTATCTATCCTCGGGGGCGGAGCTACGTCACAAGACGTTCCACGTTGCTACGACGCGCACCACTGTACATGCATTTCTA